GGCCACTCTCGAAATCTCATTGGTGCATAGCCAAACTGTGAAAACCTGCGATTGGCCCAAATTTCCACTCTAGAAATCTGATTGGCGCATAGCCAGACTGTGAAAACCTATGATTGGTCCAAATAGCCACTCTCAAAATCTCATTGGTGGATAGCCAAACTGTGAAAACCTATGATTGGTCCAAATGGCCACTCTCAAAATCTAATTGGTGGATAGCCAAACTGTGAAAACCTATGATTGGTCCAAATGGCCACTCTCGAAATCTCATTGGTGCATAGCCAAACTGTGAAAACCTGCGATTGGCCCAAATATCCACTCTAGAAATCTGATTGGCGCATAGCCAGACTGTGAAAACCTATGATTGGTCCAAATGGTCATTCTGGAAATCTGATTGGCGCATAGCCAGAGCGTGAAAACGTATGATTCGTCCAAACGGCGACTCTGGAAATCTGATTGGCTGGAATGCAGACGAAGCAGACATCTGGTTGGTCGAGGGGTTAGGGGCTGTAGACTAATCCAATGGCTAAGGTTACGTTTTCTTGTAAGATCGATGATGTGATAGGTCAAGAAAACATTTTTTCGTTCTGTGCGAACGAACGAACGAAGTTACGAACGAAGTTACGAACGAAGTTACGAACAGACAAAACTAACTCGGTGTATGACCCTCCTTTCAGTAGAGGGAATATTGAAAGTAAGTAAAAATTGTTTTTTTAAAATTTTTTCTTTCTTTTAGATGAATATGAAGAAATCAAAGATGCTAAGTAATTTTTTTTTAATCTTTTATTTTGTTGTCTTTTGTTTTAGGTTCTATGATTATTATCAACTAGGAAAAGATAACAAATGGTAAGTTAACTAATATTTTCTCATAATATAACATTAATTACTTTTTTTTTCTTTTTCTTTTCAGTCTTCAACATGATCGCGTCTTCTTTATCATCGTCCAACATTCGAACACGTGAGTAATTATTTCTTTTTTTTTTCTATTGAGAAAGAGTATAGGGGTGAGAGAGGGATGAGGTTAGATAGTAACATTGAGACTGAGAAGGGTGAGGATGAGACTCAGAAAAGTGAGTGTTAGTGAGAGGCGAGGGTGAGTTCTGCCAGTTGAGGGTTAGAGTTTCGCCTTTTATGAAGGACTTCCGGGTAGTCCCTAAAAGCCCGGCCAGGACCTGTCTTGGTGTCCGTGGCACACGACCAGGCTTATTCAGACTCATTGACATATCTCTCGCGGGGAGGGTATGAATGATATGAGTCTGTCCTGCGCGTGCATGAGCGTTACGCTCGCCACGGCTCCACCAGGATGGTTCCTGGTCGCGCGCGCGAATATAATAAGCCATTCATTTCATCAATCCAATGCAATTTATTTGAAACGAAAGGAACGCAAAAAAAAATCTATCACGACGAGTCTATTCGATTGGAAAGCGTTGGACACGTGCATTTTCCAAATCGATGACATAGAGATTGCGATGTCGATCGAAGGACAAACCAAAGGGACTGTTGAACTGATTTGCTCCTGCTCCTTCACCATTTCCACCCACAATGACAGTGCCCTGTTTCGCTCCTTTAGGCCAACGCATCACTCGATCATTCCCAGAGTCTGCCACATAGATGGTACCCAATGTGTCGACGAACAGTCCATTAGGATGCGACAATTGTTTCAGAGCATTCCCTTGTCCTTGACCTCCAGCGACGACAATTCCTTCTTTTGCACCTTTATTCCATTTCATTACACGATGATTGCCGTTGTCTGACACGTAGACAGTCTGTTGTTGATCGACAAAGATATAGGTTAGAAAGTTGAGTTGATTGAGACTAGCACCTTCGCCATTGCCACCAGCTACAATAGTTCCATTCTTGTCTCCTATTTGATATCGTCTTACTTCATGTTTCTTGAAGTCAGAGATGTAGAGATATCTATGATCATCCATGGCCAATCCCCCACAACCGATGTTGTTGATGAGGATTTCTCCTTGAGTTGTACCACTACGACGAGACCATCGTACAACTCGTCGATTGCTCCAATCACAAATAATGAGACTATCCGTCTCTTTGTCAATCAACACATCGGTTGGACAATACAATTGGTCCAATCGATTTCCTTCGCTATTGCCACCAGCTACTACTTGTCCCTTCGTATCACCCATCTTCCATTGGATGATACGATGATTGTTGAAGTCAGCGATGACTATCGTTTGATCATCATCAACGAAGAGACCATGAGGGCTCCGGAGTTGATTGTTGGCACTGCCTTGTTCATGACCTCCAGCAACAGTCACTCCCTTCTGGGCCCATCGGGCATCGGCTGGAATATTTGGAATTACTACAATGAACAAAAAAGAAAAGAAATCGTCGTTATCGAAGGGATCTCGTTTTTTGTGGGAGTAAGTGCTACAAAATATGACATTCATCTTTGAGAATGCTCGTTTCGCAGATAAAAATTCAGAAGTCTTTTCCTAGTTTCTTATGAGAAAAAAAGGATTTGGTAACGATTCTTACATCTATGTTACTTCTAGTTCTTGCTAAGATATTTTTGATCATAAAAATAACACCTTGAGATTGTTGTAAGGAGGGTCTCCAAGAAAGAGTAATACTAATTCCATGTAAGTTTTTGATAGAAAAACATAAGGATCTGAGGGTTTTTTTCAGAATTGCAAGAATTCAGAATCTTTTTGGCAGAATGATCATTTATATGAACATCAGAGAAGATTCTATCTGCATCTTGTGAGAAGAATATCGAATTGTTGAACAACAAAATATCAAACCTAATTTCTCTGTTTTTTAGGAAACCTTAAGGATACGTGATTTTCTGTAAGATGAATGTAGATCTGCCGAAGAATCTCCTAAGTATTTGCATAGAGAATGCTGGTGAAATTTTATAAGGCTTTTGGTAAGTTATGTGAAGCTGTTCGAAGAACAACCGTGATGTACTCTGAGTAAGATCATGAGAAGGCTTGGATACAGGCGAAACTGAACAAAGTTGAGAGGATTCCACGCGAATCTATTTGATCTGTGAGGGCTTCTACTTTTGGAAATACTGAAAAGATGGATGCCAATCCGAACGGAGTTCTCCAGTGACAAACATTGGGATCTATGGATTTTATGGGCTTTGAAAATCTAAAAATAATGAGTATCTTCTATGAGGATCATGCTACAATCCTTATGTAATACTTGTTCTGAGAAGTCTTCTGTAAGCTCGCATGTTATGGATATGTTCAGGAGGATCTGAAGAGTAAATATTTTGAAATGGTTGATATCAGAGTGAAAATGGAGTAGGAACAGGACAGAATGGAGGTGCCTATCTTTAAATTTTATGAGAAAGTTTATAAAGCAATAAATTAATATGCTACTATTTGATATCAATCGTAGATTTAATTATGTCCAAAAACTTATGTGTATTTAACTCTCGGATGCCCAAGCTAATTTTTGGAGATTATATGATAACATGTATTCATATTTCTATGATTTTGATTGCTGGACTGGTATTCTTGCCCAAATTAGATTGTTTTCCTCTTCAATCTTGTAAAGTAATTATTAGAATTATAGTTTTCCTTTATTTAGAACAGTAAATACAAAAAATTCCTTGAACAAAGTGCTCATCACTAACCGATTCTGGGAGGGTTTTCACTGAATTCTTCTGAACATAATGAATATCACAGGCACAAAGGCGGATATATATAATAGAAATCTCGGGACAATAATAAACTTCTTGAAGATTCTGAACAAGAATATTGAAAATAGACTAGATGCGACGCCATACACAAAAAGAATGCAAGAGAGAAGAGATATGCATGAGATGTAAAGTAGACGGGAAAGAAAAAAGAGACAGTGAAAATAGATCCATTTTTTTAAAGATTTTTGTCAGATTCAGAATAAAAGATTTCATTGGACATCTTATTA